CTCGCAGCCAAATCTCACCATGTGGTGAAACACATCAGGGATTCCCTTTGATATTGCTGAGCTGGAATTGAATGCCAGAAAGTGATCAGGTACCTGCTCTGAACCACCGACCGCCCATGTCGGTAGGCTGTCCTACATCATGGGTGGTGCCGATATTTACATCTCATGGGGTTGTTAACGACCACTGATTTCGAGAAATTAAACCATGCACAGTCAGAGCAGCACTGGAGGAATATACTCATGTGAAGTGCTACCAAGCAGAAAAAGACTTTCCATTTGTGTGTGCCGCCTGTGTTGTTAGCCACACAGCAGACAAAACAAAATCTGAACTGTTTATTTCTCAGCAGAGCCAAAAATGTTTCTCAACCTTTAACAACATCTAATTAAGAAACATCAGTATGTTACTGTGTTACTGTACTGAAAGAAAGATTAGAGGAAAATATGAACTGAAGGAATGAACAATTCTTTCTATTGAAATGTACTAATTACCAGACTTTGGCTTTGTTAATCCGCAGGTATTTTGTAAAAATACACGTCACATGTCCACTATTTGTGGGGCCACTGTACATCATTTACTCTGTTGGATGATCTCGTGCCAGATGAGAATTTATATTTCACACATGGCAATTAATTTCCAGGCTGTAGCCAGTGTTATGATATGCTATAGTTTAATTACTCATTTCTGGGCAGTTATGGCCGGAGCCCCAGTGCACTGAAGATAATTTGCCTTTTCCCTTAATCTTCAGCACTGGGGTTTTTTACAGCAGCTGTAATGGTGAGTGCAGGCGATTTTTGTGACAATCACACTGTAATTATGTGTGTGGATGCAGCCAAGTGCAACATGGCCTAAAGTCATTAGCTTGCTGTTCACCTTTGGCTTAGAAAGTGGCTGGAGGTATGTCATTATTTTCTAGAAGGGAGCACAAATCCTAATAAGAACAGATAACGTGAAAAAAAAGTAGCTAATCTTGATGCTCCAGGCATAGGGAACTGTTTGACTTACAGCAGTTAAACCTTGTTGTAGTGAAAGGAGTGGGGTTGCGGGGATGAAATGACTTGAAGAACGACATGAGATTTCATTAGGTCTGCTAATGCTTTGGCATTTGTGATAAATCCTTTTGTGCTTGCTAATAGGTACTAAGGAAAGAGATTTCCATGACCTGCGGTAACCGTAGCATCTCTGATGGAGATTTGGCCTGAAGTCAAAAGTGTCTGCAACACGAACATGACACTGGACAAAGTTTGGGAGTGTGACACAACACACACACCAACACAGTTAGTCTCTCTTAACTGTGCAAATACTGCTACATATTAACCTGCATTTCATGTTAAACAAACAGGTATTCCAGCAAGATTTTGAGAGTAAAAAAAGAAACCGCAGTTACTGTTTTTCAAGACTCAGGAGGGGCCGTGTTGTACAGTATTCATGACAGACATTTTGGAATATGAATGAATATTTCATGGCCTGTTGAACAGGGACTCAGCCTGAGATGCTCTTGGCAGTGGATACCATTCATACTATCACACTCATACCAATAGCTTGATACGTCTCTTTGCCTTGAAATGTCAATGTGAAGCAATGTGAGGATCCGTCCTTGTTTCCTGAAAAGGAAAACTAAGAAATCGAAGCGGGGAGAGGCAGGCTTACTGTCTTACCAATAAATGCTGATACATATTTTTGAATCAAACGCTCATTTCAGGCAACAAGGGCACACTGTCAACCATGTAGGTCCAGAGGGAGGACATTGTCTCTACTCCCACTGTCTGAGGTCCTGCTGGGTTCCACATGCTACACTGGTTATCTAAGCAGAGGTGGAGTATCTGACAGACAACACTGCACCTCCTCCAGCTCTCTGTTGTGTGGAAACACTCGTCTGAAGAGGAGAGACCAAGTGTCTGATATGGATGACACATATTACAACAAGCCTTTATTAGCTGATCTGTCTAGCTCTAGCTGCACTGTAAAAGACACAAAAAAAGCCCATATTCCAGCAGCAGGGAAAAAAAAAAAACGGAAAATCACCATCCTGTAAAGATGCAGTACTGAAATTTTATGTGATAATAACAATTATTCTTTGTTTTTAAAACAACAATACTAACTAATAATGTGTTGAAAAAAGTGTTACAATACGAATAATGAGACCTAAAATAATGGAAGAATAGTGTCATTATTTGTGTTTATGGCATGTATGAAAATTGTGAAATAAATATTATTTGATCTGTAATTTCTCAGCCTGGGATCAATAAAGTACGTACATCCATCCATCCATCTAAAATAAATTATGAACTACCATGAAATATATGGTTTTAGTTTCTCCCCTACCAGAATTTAAAACATAACATACATAATAACAACATAATATTCTGTATGTACAGTGCAACAACATTTTCCAGCTTTTTTACAAACTACATCTTGCTGTTCTCTTCAATAAATATCATGTGGAGACAAAGTGTGAACAAATATATACTGTAATTGCAGTAACTTTTGATTCCAATTAAAACACGCTTTATGTTACGTTTTATGAGCGTACAGATGACAAAACACACTAACAGCAAACCTTACTGTTTAGGAAAATACAGATCTCTTTAAAGTCTCCAAAACATTTGTATTTAATTTAACATTTTATATTAATCATATTTTGTTGTCTTTATTGCAGTGAGCGTGCGCTGTGCGGAAGCAGGCTGATGACTGCTGCTCTCCTGCTGACCAATAAATGTAATGGAATGATGAAGAGGAGGAGACAGACATTTTCCCCACAGAGATCAATTAGAATCACCGTATCACACATCAACACAAATGTTCCCAGTTTTTACAGCAAGTGTGACAGCTTTTCAGTGCTCAGATGAACTCAGCAGTTGCAATAACAGTGAGCGAGCCTGGCAGTAATCAAACACACGAGACAAACTGTGCGCACGGTTAACTTCAGATTCAACTTCAGTTTCTTTCTAATTGGCCGACAAAGGTTACACTAGTCTCATTTTCAAGTGAGATTGGGTAAAACAACAATACCTGGTCCACAGATTAAGTAGCAAGGAAGGAACCTGGTCCACAGATTAAGTAGCAAGGATCCTTCCTTGCTACTTAATCACTGGACAGTATTTTGCAGCAGTGTGTAGTAAACAAAGGATTTTAGTCATGAGAGGATCTGGACTCTGGAACTGTATAATTCAATACATATTCTGGTTGGTTTGAGGAAACCTGAGGAGGGCATATAAAAATGTTGATTAAATGTATCTTTCTGCCTCCTTCACCACATATCAGGCTCTGTTTTTCTAGCCATCACACCTTTGATCGATGCCTCACTAACTTCTGGAATATTTCCCATCTCAGACCTTTAGCTCGAGTGGCCTTCTTCAGCTCTGCTCAGGTAGAGAATTATTGAACCAGTTCTTTCATCCTTATCTGGGGCTATTGAAGGGGTATTTCCCACCTACATTTCAAAATTCCTCTCACTGAGTCACCTCCTTGATCCACATCAGTTGGGCATTAGAAGTGACCATAGTGTAGAACTACTTTTGTTTTCTTTGGAAGAAAAAAACCCTCCTTTATCCCTATCTTTTCAGTCTTATCAGCAGCCCTTGACATAATCCTTGTTTGAATGTTAAGAAACTATTTGAGAGAGTTTGATTGGCCTTAGCATGGACAAACGTTCACATCCCTTGGATGGAGTGACACAAGGCTCGATACTAAGTCCCATTCAGTTTGCAATACGTTTTTACAAACAAGACCAACTCTATAGGTTCCACATATTTTCATTTTAGATGAAACAGAAACTTCTCATGAAGTCTAGAGGAGTCTTTCATCTTTTCTGCTGATATTTTTCTGCCAACACCTTTCAACCTATGAATTGACCCACAAAGTCATGTTACAAACCCTACGTCTTGTTAAACAGACATTATTTGGTGCCCAATCCTATGTATCTAACAAAATTTAGGCTCAGCATTTAAATTTAGGCTCCTTAAAATAAAGGTAACACTTTCTTCAGGCCACAGATTGTGTCAGGTCAGAAATGTAGTGAGATGTTTGAATATGTACTGAAATAGAAATTTGGATTCCTACATAGCCTATCCAGCAGTAAGATGAACTCCCTGCTCCTCTGAAGTCTTTTGACTACATCAACATTTTATGTGGTTGACTTCCTTACTTGTTAAACAGCCCTTGACAACTTCATTACTGGTCACTGATATGTTTTATAGGTACTAATATTGATAGGTCTGTGAACACACACTGTTAAATTGCAGGGCCTCAAATGGTGTAGGAAAAATATGTTTTTGCCGAAAAAATAATAAGTGTGTTGTGATGTAAGGCCTGAAATCACAGAGTTGCTATAAAACTATACTTCAAGTCCACTACGCAGAGCCGTACAAGAACAATCCAATCAGGAGCTCTGCACTCAATGAGTTACATTGACGCCACCTACTGGGTCTAATTTTACACTGGTAAATATGTACGTATACATATGTATGTAGCTGCAGGTCTTACATAAATGTTCCCTAACCCTGAAGAAAGGATTGCATTTGTATCAATCACTGGATTAGCAGTTACTTCACCTTTTGATCAGTTAGAATCAAATGACATATTTTAAAATATTTAAAAGTACCTAACTGTGGTTGAATTGTGCACCCTCAAGACCTTTCATTGTAAGTGTCCAAGCTTATCTGCAGATAATTAAATGTATTTAATTTGTTAAATTAATTTATCCGGTGACATTGTCTTTCTCTTTATGGCCTGTTCATTGAGTCGGCAACTTCTTCGTTCACTAATGAGGATTAAAACATGGAGCTTTAATTTACTGGCACTACAAAGCTTCTTTAAGTCATGTTAGGACTTTTTTTCCCAAACCATCACTGCTACATTTAGTAACCCTAACCTCTGGAATATTTCCAAAAAACAAAACCCATCTCATGAATCCTCAAATGCTCTTCTTTACTTATACAAAAAAACAAAATATTCTCATTGCTCTAATCATTATTTGAGAATATCAATAGACATTACTTACTTTGATTCCAAGATTCCTTTATCCGAGTCTCCTCCTCATTCACCTCAGTGTCGATCCACAACGTCATGTGCTTCAGAAATGGCCACTCTGTTGTACTACCATTCTTTCCCGTGACAGGAAACCCTCCTTCATCCTTATCTTGCCGACCTTTCCGATGTTTCTGACAGGGTTCACCTCATCACGCTCTGCTTCGACATGGACACCTGAGAAAAAAGAGTTCTGTATCTTAATCTTGCGTTTTTTGTGTGTCATGGAGGAAGTGAACACACGTGATGATGTGCAATTTCCACTCCTCCTGCATATTTATATTTACAAGATGTGGTTCCACAGATCTGCAGGAGCAAATGGTTTGTATTTACATAACACATTCATAGACTTAATGACCATTCAGAGTGCTTAACACTAAGATTCTTGGCAGTAACCCACTCATTTATTTCAGACACAGCTACTGTAGCACAGCTGCCAGAAGCAATTTGGGATTAAGTGTCCTGCTATGGGTCACATGCATATGCATTCAGATCAGCAATAGCTGGAATCAAACCAACAACCTTCTGGTTTAAAGTGAATTGTTGTACCTAGCTAGCTGCAATGGTAAAACTTACAAGGTAATTCATTATACCTAATTAGTTTAAAAAAAAAAAAAAATTATCTGACATCTTTATTGCAAATTACACCATTCCCTCTGTCATCTCAGAAAGAAGTTGGGACAGTTTCTAATTTGAACCAATAAATTTTGGCCCTCAGCTGCAGAGGGAGGCTCTGTCACGGCAAGATTGATTTCGTTGCGTCAGCACCTAAGTGTGTATGTGCTGAGTGAGTGTGTTTGGGAACAAAAGGTGGTGTAGGGACGGTGGGCTACCACAGGGACTTCGAAGCTCTTACCATCTGCTGAAAAGAGTCAATACATCCCAAGGCATCATGTAGGGTCTCCCCATATTCTTCTGTGATTGACTCCAAAGGTCACTGCCGCCATCAAGAATAAGCAACCAATCAACATGCATGGCTTTACATGAAGCCAATATCCCATCAATTCTTTGAAACGGTCGTTAGCCTTCACCTGTGTGAATAATCAGGGGAAAACAGAGCTGTGTGAGCAGGCAGTCGATCATGGACGCCTCAAGACAGAGGAGGTTTAGTCACGGATAAAAGCAATTAGCTAAACAAAGCCATGTAAATAAACTGTACATGTTAAAAGTCGTTATGGCAGCATTTGTTTTAAAATCACATGTCATAAACAAGGCCGCATATACAAGAAAAAAAGAGTTAAAGAATTGATTATCTGACATGAGACAACTTTCAAAATAAATGATGATGAGAAGTTTAGATTCCAGGGTTTCAGGTCAGAAGAGCAGCAATTTCTTGTAACCTTCATTCTCTGTCTAAAATTAGCAGCTCATGATAAAATCTATATAGTAAAATAAATATTACTTGACTTGTGGATAAAATGGCTGTTTATTATAGTAAAGTATTTTTTATTTGGCCCATAAAGATGTTGGATCTTTTATGATGCTATTCGTCAAACTGATCAACCCTTTAACATATTCTGTAATTCAAAGTAAAGTAAAATTGAGTGCTGTGTTTTTTCAACTATAATTCACAATTTTCTGTAACCTTTTATTGTTAAATCCTCTCAATTTTTCTTCCTCCATGTGCCAATCTCCAGTTTTTTCAACCATCTTCACGACCACACACCTTCTCACACATTTTCCTTCTCTAACATCCTGTCCAATTTACCCCCCATTGCTCCTCAGCACATGTCCAAATGTTCTGAAACACACATCTAACCTTTAATCACAGTCTTTTCCCCAGATCTGCTCGCTTCCAGGCTTGTCCACCCTCGTCACGCCCAACATCCACGGCAACAGTCAGCTCATTCTTATGTCTCATTGGACACTGAAGAGGAAAATAAAGAGAAGGATAAAAACAACATAACATTTTTAATGCTTACAAAAATGAGAGGGAAGACGTAAGTGTTAATTTTGTCGAATAATAATACCTTTCAGTTTGTTGTTCTACAGCCCGAGGTTTGAAATCTACTACAGGTGTAAAAACATTTGGTTTTCCTTGGTGTTCATGCAAAAAACTCACATAATGTATGGTTTTTCCTTGAATGGTTTCCCCTTGAATGCAGCAAACTGTGTCAAGCAATAATGATTTCCTTCAGTAGTCCTGAGCCTGTGTGGCTTGGTCTATCAGAATAGCATGATGGTCTCTAAAGCAATACCACCCATGCCATAAGAGCTCAAAGGTCACACACATTCAGTAAGTGAATCTCCACTGACTTTCACACACAAGGTCAATTACAAGAGTTATGAGATTTCTGCCGACTCTCCAAAGCTTTTCATGATATTATTTTACAGTCCATGACAGGTGATAGATAGTTTTTTGTTTTTATTCTATTTTTCTACTATATGGCCGATTCTTTGCCGTCCTGAGACTGAGCCTTAACTTGATGCTCCTTCAGTTTCACTGAATTCTGTCTGAAGTGCCTGAGAATATTTTTAAACATTATCAGACAGCATAAAAGCAGGCCCGAAAGCAGCAAAGCAAATGATTTTATCAGTTCTGCATGACAAGGTGCAGGGGTGATGACAAAAAGTTTGGGAATTATCTCAATTAACTGAGCATGAAAATGTACTAATAAACCAGTAGAGGGAGGGGGGAAAAAAAGCACGGGCAGAGAGAATGAAAAGAGATGATTCATGAGAGCTGAGAGTTGGTTATGGTGTGGGGTGTGTCCCTGTGGCCTGGTCTGCATTTCATACCGGTGTGATGAAGCTGTCATAAACACACAGCACTCTGCTAATACAATCCTCCGAGGGATGTTAAGTTTTAATTTGGATGTCAGATGAAAATGATTGACTTTTATTGTTTGACTGAACGATAATGGGCCGTGTGTGTGCAAGTGAAATACTACTGTGTATAACTGCTGAATGTCTTTGCGTTTATCAAAAGACAGAAAAACAGAATATTTAATTTTACTTGCTTTACTTTAACGGCCAAAAGTTTCACTTTGCAACCCATAAATATTATCTAGCTTTCGACAGTTTATTTGGTTTTAATGATGGGCTGCAGGAAATGACACTTTATAACATTTTATATATTTTTTTTTAAATTTCAATGTTAATTATTTAAATTTAAAAGATATAACTCGGGGCAATAATTTGACTTGTGACGTTTACTGGTTTTACACTTGATTTTTCAGCTTCATTTAACATTGATTATGATGCCTTTTTTCTTATGCATACAACAAAAGAGTTGGATGGTCTTATTGTGTGCATATTGGGTATTGTTGTATAATAATTATTTAGTGCATAGACTTAGACTGAGGTCAGAAGTGGACCGCTAAACACCCACGTAAGGTCAAATGACTGCAAGGACAACGCAAAGGTTGAAACTGTCTGAAAATGTAGCCCTTTTGAGTCTGTTTCTCTAAACAACACAACAAACAAACAAACACACACACACACACACACGTAAAAAGACAATGTTCAACATTTAGTCTATATTAAATTCTAGTTCTTTCACTTTTACTGTAGGTTTGAAAAAAAAGAAGCGTTTCCACAACACATTAATAATTGAATTTTTGTGCACCTACAAACAAAGCTCTTAGACTCTAAGTTCAGCAAAGTGTCTGTATATATTATATTATGTCTGTATATTTTCGTCACAAGCCATTACCAAACAACAGGGGTTACATGAAAAGGCTCTGATGATGAGAGAGATTCACATCCACTATGTATGTAAACGGGGTTATTGCTGTAAAACTGTCTCCTGCTTTAGAGAATAGTCGACTTGGAAACAGCACAGCTCCACAGGAACTTGGCTTCAATTGACGTGGCTGATCCCAAAGTGATAAATAGCTGGAGCATGAAGTGTATCATCATCAGAAGAGCGGCGCCTCCTTCCAAACAACCACGTGTTTTCAACAGCATTTCATTAAAGCAGCTTATCTATGCGCCTTAAAATAAAAATACATTCCCTTTGACGAATGTCGATGTGAAACAAAAGTCACTGCAGTGTTTCAGCCTCTTATTTGGAGCACAGGCATGACAAGAGAAAACAGAAATCTATTCACAAAAAATCCCTGTAATCAAGCTTAGGCTGAGTCCTGGTAGACAGGCCAGAAAAAGGCTCCTCCACAGAGCCTTTAATGTTGTTATTAAAGCTTGGCTGCGAGGCATAAATATCGACCTGATCACGGACTCCTTCACAGACCACTGCACTCTGCTGTCCCGCCCTGCCAGTGCCATCAAATCAATCAACCTTTCTAATTAACTGCATCCAAATGAGGCATCGTCTTCTGTGACTCAGAAAAGAGCCCTTTTCCACAACACCTCCTGCACACACAGGATGTCTTGCGTACCCTGAGCTTGATGCTATTTCTGCTTGCTCCCTGCTTCCATAAGCTCACTCTCACTATTCTCACTCCATGCACAGTCTCTCTCTGTCTCTCATTATAAACCTTTTTTTATAGAAAGTACAGACTCAGTTAAATTCTCTAAAATTCTGCTTAGTCCTGTCACTTCTTCATCACTGGTGATTTCCTCATTAGAGTTAAGCCGAACTGTTTTAGACTCAAACTGTATGAGAACGTTTGTCGATGGATCGTACTGGTTGTGATGGAGTTTCTCTTTGAAGGCTGAACATACAGGAAATTCTGCAACCAACAGCTGCTCGACTGTTCAAATGAGAGGCTGCAAGCCAAATATCTCCTCCCTTTCTCCTCTTATATTCTTAAATGCTCACTCTCCTCCTAGTTCTCCTCACAGACGCAGTGAGCTGTGCTCCTCAGTGCTGCGCCCCCCCAGGGCACTTGGAGGGACTCCAGATGTGCTTCTCCTTTAACATGCACTGCGGCAACTCTGTTTTTTTTTTGTTTTTTGTTTTGTCTTTCCTTCATGCATCGGCCTTTTTTCTCCCACCGTCCACCTTGTTTTAAGATGCAAAATTCTTCAACATAACCAACCTATGGTCTAGGTTGCAGCATAAAATTATACTGAAATTGGATCACATGCACATAACCACTTTGCATGAGAAACAGAGATGCCAGTCAAGATGATGCATATGCTGATTGTCAAATAAAAAACTTAGTATGAGTCAACTCCAGCTAGATTGGACTGGTTTGACCTTGTTGAGTCCAACTCCTGTAGCTCCTCCTGGCTTCAACTCTTTCTACGAATAAAACATATGTGAAAGTGTGAAAGTGGGCATTAATGCCTGGAGTGGGTCTTGTGGGGCCAACAGGGGCAACAGCCTGGTTCGTGGTTACACTCATTCATTGCCTTGAATGTTGCAAATGCCTTCAAAAGCATGAGAACTCATTAGCTGTTGGCCTAAAGCCTTAAGTTGTCATTTTTTTCTCACTCACTTAAAATACAACCATATATTGTAGCAATACTCAAAAACAAACAAACAAAACAAACCTGGGTTCCATGTAAAAAAACAAACCAAAAAACCAAAAAAACAGAACAGAACAGAGACCAGATTAAACAAAAAAATCAAACAAACAAACAAACAAAAAAACCCAACAATTTTATCTCAATAATTATTATACAATTAAACTAGCTTCAAATAAAGTTTTTTTAAATTTTTATTCTAACTATGCAAATCAATCACAAACATATAAATGTAACATCATTTCCAGTTCCTTCACGTTGGCTGCATTCTTCTAATGCACCTATTGCATCACTTCACTGCTACGGTTTTGACTCTTGTTCGTAATGCTGGATCTTATATATGCTGAGATGTATTTGCACCTCTAGTCTTCATTCCTATTTTAGTATCCAAAAACCCAATGATATTTTTAGTGTTTTGTTTTGTTCATCCAATGTAAATTTTTACATTTTTATTAATGCATTCTGTTTAAAAAAGAAAAAAGTCTGGAACTTTTGTACGCTTCCAGACTTTGGGTCGTGACTTATTGACTCAGAACAGAAGTTGCTGTGCAGGCTGGTTCATCTGGGGAACCACTACTTTAGAAACACATCACTTTTTCCACACTTTGCAGTCTAACAATAACACAAGCTGCATTTTTATGTCCAAAAACCCCCCAAAAAACCAACATTTGAAGGAAACATATCTCATGCATTTATTCTAACAGTATGTGTGATTTGTAAAGTAAAAACAATTAATGTAGAAAACAGAAATCACTTTTGTTGCTTAGCAGGGCAGATTTATGAGCATGAGAATAAAAAAACATGTTACTGTGTTAATGACTGTTAACACATGACTGTTACGTTTCTGAAAGGTTCATATAAACTAATCCATCTGTGAATTCCAACATTCAATAATGATTTACAAAAATACAGCGGATTATGTGGCTGAATAGTCAGGAAACAGAACAAAAAAATATATCAGGGAAATAATGTTCCAGAATCATTCCCAGAAATAGGCAGAATCAATTTGAAGACTTTGTTATAAAATATTATTATTATAAAAATATTTGTTTCCTTTTGGTTTGAAATAACTTAATTAGAAGACAATGGCTGTAAGTATTTTACTTCTTGTTGTCGTCACTGTGGTTTGAGTTGAACTCAGAGTTAGACACAGCATGTCCCTCTATTACCCACAGAGCTGTGCAAACTACAGTACATAAAAATACCTTCCAGGTTAACCCATATTTTTTAAAATCCAACCTTAAGAAATATCTCCCTGTCAGTAACCAGGAGGCTGAACAATGACAAGTATTGTCTTTCTCTAGTGTGTAAAATATGAAAATACAAATTCAATAACAAGTGTTGTGTTGCTATATTTCAGGAAAGACAAAATCAAGTGATAAAAACTGCGCAGTATATGTAGAAGTAAAAAAAAACAAAACAATTCTGAGTTTTTTTAAAAACCTGCTTTTTCACTGGTTTTTGTCAGTAGCAGTGTGATGATTCCTAGCTTTC